AATGTACAGCTATATGATGCATAATTTTGGACCAATGAAATTTCATTGTGAGTGGAGCGGAATACAATGAAAATGAAAATAAAAATAAAGTGACAGACAAAGTATAATGTCACTTGGCACAGCTGGATCAACTAACTGGATTAATATGAAAAGACAGGGGTTTTGCTCATAAATGTATCTGGTTGTGCTCGGTTAGGACACGGTGTTAGTGATACAACTCTTTCACGTGATAAAGTAACCCAAAATCTTAAGAATGCCGGACAGTTTGGAATTTCCTGCGATAGACCCCACACACACCCCTGGCCAGAAGCGCCAGACGGAGGGCAAAACGCTCTCTTTCAAGCTCTCAATAGCAGGAAGAGCTAAATAAAACGGCGCAGTCTCCCTGGCAACACATTCAGTCCAGTATCGTGCCTTTGGGGTACAGCAAACACGTCGGAAAGACAAGCACCCTCTATAACAGGGCAGGGCCGCTGAAGCATTCCAAAACACACACGCTATTAGCCCTCACATGCAGCCGGTCGCAAGCCATAAAATCATGCCAGAGGAATGACAAGCTGTCTCTTCTGAAAATCTAAGCTCGTTGATGGTCCCAGAGTTTGCTGCAAGTGATAATTACCCACTGGACCACAACTGTCTGGAACCAGACCTGTCTCTTAAAGGGACAGTTGACCCAAAAATGATTTACTCACCCTCAAGCCATCCTAGGTGCATATGACATTCTTCTTTCAGACAAATCCAATCAGAGTTATATAAAACTTTTTCCGTGCTCTTCAAAGCGTTTGAATGGGAGTAAGTAGGTGTTTTTTTATTTTTTTTATTTTTAATAATTTACTCACCATCAAGCCATTCTAGGTGTATATTACTTTCTTCTTTAGGATGAATACAGTTGGAGTTATATTAAAAATGCCCTGGCTCTTCCAAAAAAAAAAGTGCATCCATCCATCATTAAAAGTGCTCCACACAGCTCCGGGGGGTTAATAAAGGCCTTCCGAAGTGAAGTGATGCATTTGTGTAAGAATAATATCCATATTTAAAACTTTATAAATGGTAATCTCTAGCTTACGCTAACAGTCATACACGTGTTCACAAGAGAGTGGCGTTCAAGCGGATGACTTGGGATGAAGGCATAGCGTAAGCGCCGGTGAGAATATGCTAGTCTCGTTAGAATCAAGTTTTGTTTACAGCAAAGGAAAACCAGTCTCCTTTTGGCTTGTATCGAAATCCTCTGACATTTTTCTTTACAAATCCTCGTTTTGTACTACTAATTTGTGACCGGTGTTTTGTTTCGCCGTCACTTCTGCGTTCGTCACTTCCGCGTTTGCCTACGTCTTACGTCATCCGCTGGACGCCACTCTCTCGTGAACGTGCGTACAACAGTTAGCGGAAAATCATGGGGTAATTTTCATTTTTGGGTGAACTGTCCCTTTAAGGCCTCGGGCGACATGATTTGATAAAGGAAGCTTGTTCTGGTCTTGTTCTTGGTGGGAAAGAATCCCAAACAAGATGCTCTGCCGCATTCTTAAACCTGTTCTTGGAGGGCCACTGTCCTGCAGAGTTTAGCTCCAACCCTTTGGATAAAAGCATGTTTACTGATGAACAGTATGGTGACATTTATATTGATTAATTTGGCTATTATCCAAAGTGACTTATATTGAAGGTATGCATCTCAACAACCCAGCAAAACTGACAAGAAACTCATGTGTAGCATTGGCAATTCTGATTTGTTCTAGTGAATCAGTTCATTCAGCTGATTCATGTAAATGAACTGATTCAAAAAAGTCTATTTGCGACATTTTAAAGCATTGGAAATTCTGAATCATTCCAGTGAATCAATTTATTCAGTTGATTTGTGTAAATGAACTGATAAGAAAAGTTTGTTTGCAACATTATAGCATTGGAAATTCATATTCATTCCAGTGAATCAATTCATTCAAATGATTCATGCAAATCAACTGATTCAATTATATTGAATGTATGCATTTCAACAGTTCATGCATTCCCTGGGAATCAAACCCATGATCTTGACATTGCTAGTGCCATGATTTGATAAGCGAAACTTGTCCTGGTCTTGTTATTTGTGGGAAAAAAATCCCAAACAAGATGCTTTGATATGTTTTTTTATGTACAGCAGGGTTGTGAAAACCTGTTCCTGGAGAGCCACTGTTCCGCAGGTGCAGGATTGGACACCCCTGATGTACAATATGGTGACATTTACATTCATGCACTTGGCAAATGCTTTTATCCAAAGTGACATTTTAAAGGTATGCATTTCATCAGTTCATGCATTCCTTGGGAATCAAAACCGTGATCTTAGTGTTACTAGTGCCATGATTTGATAAGGGAAGTTTGTTCTGGTCTAGTTCTTGGTGGGAAAAAATCCCAAACAAGATGCTTTGCCATGTTCTTTGTGTACAGCAAGGGTACCCAAACTTGTTCCTGGAGGGCCACTGTCTTGCTCCAACCTTAATTAAACACATCTGAACCAACTAATCAGGGACTTCAGACTCACTAGAAACTTCCACACAAGTGTGTTCGAGCTGTTTGGCGCTAAACTCTGTAGGACGTTGGGCCTCCAGCAGCAGGATTGGACACCCCTGAGACTTACATTGCATTCAAGGAATGGATTTGATCAGTTCATGCATTCCCTGGGAATCAAACCCATGACCTTGGCACTGGAATGGCAAACCTCAAAAGAGTTGACAAAGCGTTTTTACCTGAGTTCTCTTTGTTGCTCCGTTTCTCGATGCCAGGAAAGGCCGCCTCCAAATCCAGTTTTCCAAAACGAAATGCATAACCATTCATAAGTTTCTTGGGAAGGCCGCTACCGGATCCACCGGAGGACGACCGTGCCCGGTGTCCTTTAACCTGCAAGGCCTTGTTGGTACGTTCGAGAGATTTGGAGCGTCTCTCACCCAGACTGAACTCGGCGCTCTTGGATAGATGGACAGCGGGAGAACCGTTGCGAGATTCATCTCCTCCCAGCCATCCACGATCACAGGTTCTCTGAGGGATCGGATCCTTTGTGACGGAGTCGTGAGGCGCTCCTGGCTCAGACTCCGTCCCTTCCTCCAGAATTGATTCTGAGCTGGAGCCGAGGTTCATGGGGTTCTGCAGTGCCTCCATGTAGGACTTGCGGAAAAGCCGGCGCAACTCGAAGGCCGCAGAGTCTCTGGGATGCCTCTTGCGAAGGCCGGGATTGCTAAGGTCTGTGCTGAACGAGAGGATTTTGTTGCCGATTCCGCCTCGAATGCATCCCTGATCTGGGCTGCCCAAGGTGGGCGTCTGGGGAAGGGAGTTGGGACTCTTTTGCAAGGGCGAATCCTCCGAGTGCTGGGAGCTGATGCCCATATCCGTGAGGCTCCGGCTGAGGACTGGCTCGGACACAGTGGACTCAGCGCCCAAGGAGTCTCGGGAACTGAGCGTTCCTGTGGATCCGTGGGTGCTGCAGGTGCTGAGCTGACCCCGCAGGGTCCCGCCGCTGCTCCGCGCCTGCATGATTGCGTCGGCAGTGCTGGTCACGAACAAAGGATTGACCACGTTCTTCCAGGGCGTTCGGTAAACCACAGCGCCGGTACTGAGGAGGCAGTTCTGGAGAGGGTGCAGGTTGCGCTCATGCGTTACATTCTGCAGGAACTCAGGTGTGAACACGCTGCCGTACATGCTCTCGGCCACAGGGATCTCTGCGATGGCTTGCCCGCTCCCTGACAGGCATTTTATGACCAGTTTGGCAGCCTTGCGGCCTAAGGGAACCACCTGCAGGTAGAAATCTCCCTGCCGTAGACGTACTTTATGCAGGGGTGCAAGTTGCAGAACCACCTTTTCATGCAAACACAGTGGCCATCCCTCGTGGTACAGCAACAGGCCTTTGAATCGCAGCTGTGGAAAATAAAAAGGATGAATTCATCAGATAAAAATGCCACTTTTCGTACAGGTACAAGCAACAATATGCAGTTATTTGCAGTTTGCAATCATTAATTTATTTCTGTCTTGAAGTAGATTTCAAGATACAAAAATACAATGATTTAAAACATTATGCAATTGTAAAATATATATTTTAAAGTGAAATGTGTAATTTTTGAGTCACCCAACAGAATTGCAAAAATTATACCTATTCTAAAACATAAAAAGGCAGCATACTGGCACAGTAACATAAAGGCTCTCAATTAGGGTGTCAGCAATTGACCATTTGAACCAGGGGGTTAAAGTAAATTAACCTAAAATTACTAGAAAAATCTTTTTCGTTAATTGGAATAAAATAAATGTTAACTGAAATAAAATCAAATAAAAACGTAAACTTTTTTTTTATTTTAGCTCGTTCATTTCTCATTTTCATTTAGCTCAACTTGATGTACTAAAATTAAAAATGAAATAAAAATGTATTTAAAAAAATACATATATAGGCGTATTTAAAATAAACAGAATTACAAAAAAAAATTACAAAAACAAAATTACTAAAACTTTAACCAAAATTAAAAAGAAAATGAAAATTATAAAAATTTAAATTATTCAAATTATTAAAAAATACTGTAATAGTACCTCAATAAAATTAAAGTAACACTCATTTGAAAAGCAACTAAAATAGCAAATAAAATGAGAAAACACTATAATTTACGTAATGAAAACAGTGAACATAAGGATTAAAATGAAAAAAGATTATGTAAAATTCCATGCAGGGACTCAAATCATTCAGCAAATAAATAAATAAATAAATGTATTTATTTCTTTTGTGGTGAACAAATAGACCAATTTACTACAATGAATTAGACTTCACAATATTTTTTGAGAGAGATTTCTGCACAGGCTATACAGTGTGAAAACGGCATTTTATCATGGTACATCAAAAAAGAGCTTCGCTATTTAGCTACTGTAATGCTACTATAAAAACAGTTAATTTAGTAGCGTTAGTGACTCCCCGACGCTGCTGTATAATGATACTGATGATGCAGCAGGAACATGTAAGTTTCAGCACGCTGTGACTCCCTCAAAGATCACGTCTGAGTTAAATGAGGCTGCTGAGAGCCCTCGTCTCAGAGCAATAACAGCAGCGCTGGATACAGGAGCGTAAGGTTTCAGCTATGTGCTCACATAGCGCTAACCTGCAGAAATACAAAGCCTCCCTGAGCAGGTCTTTCATTTCAGCCTGATCCTCTTTGCCAAGTTCACTGCAGTGAGCTCACAACACGCTCTGTTTGGGCTGTTTATCACAGTAATACTGAACCCTCTTTCAGCCTGAAGTATTCCTCCTCCCTCTCATGTTCCCACTCTTGCAAGATTTCTCTCTGGGAGACTTTAAATGGCTTGAACATGTTTAGCTGCAGCGCTATGGATTTCAACAACAATATCTGAAGAAGAGACAAAATAATAAAATATTCAGCAAACCTGCGTGAACCGCATTACCAGGCCACCAATACATAATATAGAGTTTAAAGATAGCGTGATGCATGATGAATTACCATGCTGTTCCCAAAATAAAGAAATAAACAAACAAATAAAGAAATAAATTTAAATTGTTTTTATTCAACAAGCATGGATATTATGCATAATGTAAATACTTACATACATATATAAAAAAACAACAACAACCAATCAAACAAACAAACAAAAATATTTATTTATTTGGATATGCACGTAAATGTATCATACATAATGCACATAAAACATTTATTTATTTATTTCCATGCTTGTCAAATAATAAAAACAGTGTTTTATTATATTATATTATATTATATTATATTATTTATTTTGGACATGCATGTAAATTTATTATGCATAATGAAAATAAATGAATAATATGTTTTTTATTTGCATTCATATACTAAAAAATAAATAAATATTAGCTTGCACTATGCTACACAATGTCTGAAACTTTATTACGAGCACTTCTTGTGTTATTTGCCTCCATCATGGATTGCTTGTTGTATTCCTCATTTATAAGTTGTTTTGGATAAAAGCGTCTGCTAAATTAATAAATGTAAATAAATAAATTAAATACTTCTAAAGCATTTATTAACCTTTGTTACTGTTTTAACATTTATTAATATATTAATAAATTTTAAAAAGTATTGTAGAATAATTATATTATATAATATATATTTTACTATAAATAATAATATATTTGCTAAATTAAAAATAATGTGATCTATTAGTAGATATTGCCCACTGTTTTTATTGACTTTTTATTGAAATGCTTCTGTGAAAATGCGTCGGCTGAAGCTGACCGTACTCACACAGGCCTCCTGTTTTATTATCTGCAGGATTCTCTTGGCGGGCAGCAGGAAGTCAATGAAGCAGTGCAGGCCGTCTCCGCGGTACTGTCTCTCCACGACGCTGAAGAGCTGCCACAGGACGGTGGCCGCCGACGCGCTGAACGGAGGATACAGAGCCGATAACACGCTCTGAATGCAGCGGTCCAACGACTCTGAGTCCTGCAACAGATCACACGATCAGAGTCATTCTCGGCTTTTACCACAAACATTTACTGTACAGTACATTGTTTGAGTTTTGTTATAAAATGTAAAATATAAAACGTTGTTTCACATCAAAAGCAATAAAGCTTATTGTGATTATTGGATAGAAGTTGTGCTACAAATAATGTTTAGTGAATATAGATAGACAGATAGATAGGAATATTAAATGTCAACTGAATTACCAGCCAGTTAGAACACATTTAAATTGTCGAATTTAAAGTTTAAAATGTCGAATTTAAAGATTGCATGACAAATAGCCCAATTAAATAAAAATAAAAAAAACAAAATAATAAAATAAAATTAAATTAAATTAAATATGATTTCAGCTCTACAAAACTGTTTCGGCCAATACCTAAAATTCATTTTCAATTGCTGAAATTTTGTTGTCACTAATTTACTGTAGGACACATGAAGCATCACTTCCCGTCTTTATAGACCGAATCAAACACTAATGATTGTGCACACAGTGCGATAGAGTAAACGATGGCAGCATGTTGTTTTTGGTTTGGTTAGTGAGATGGTTTGATGGTCACAAGTTCAATCCCACAGTTCCCAGTTACAAACACAAACAGCAGGATGTCAGGAGGTCGCGGGACACTGATGAGACAGGAAACACCTGTCAATGTAGCGTCACCGACTGGACAATAACAGGCGGGATGGAAAATCCTGTCCCTAATGCAGAACTACATCATATCTGTGGAGCAGAGGACTTTCCAACCGGATATGTATCACACTATCCTAAACTAACACAACCGTGACCTGGGACGCTCAGCTTTAGGTTAAAGGGACAGTTCACCCTAAAATGAAAATGTGCTGTTAATTTACTCACCATCAGCCCATCCAAAATGTAGATGATTTTTTCTTTAGTAGAACAGTGAAGAAAATTTTTAGCTGAAACTGTGCTCCTTGCTGATTCATAAGTCAATGGCTACCAGCACTTTGAGAGTCAAAAAAGCACATCAGGCAACACAGAATGAATCCCTGTGACTCCTGACGATATACTGAGGTCTTATGAAGTGAAACGATCAGTCTGTGCAAGAACCAGTGCAACTGGTTCGTTCACTAGTTCATGCACGTAATCACACAATGACATAACATATACGCAATTATATTATTAAAGCACCCAATAATGAAGTGAAATGTGGATGTTTTATGTGTCTAAAGCATATAAAGTGAATAAAGTAGTCTTCATCAGCTCACCGTGACTGTTGGAGGAACTGGAGTATTGAATGATTCATTCATCATAGGATCAGATTCTCTGCTATTTCAGCTCATTTCCAGTCGGAGTGACTGTCAGGCGTCTGAAAGTCAGTTTTGATTGAGTAACTTGTAGATCTGTGCTGCTCGAGCCCTGAACTGTTTCAGGTGCTTCAGTCTGATTTGGTGAACTGGTTCAACTCACTAAAAAGAACCGGTTCAGAAGAATGATTCGTTTGTGAACCGGACATCACTCTGGTCTGTTCGCCTGAGGCTCTGGATTACAGGTGATAATGTTGTAAATAATGTTCAGTTTCTTGCACAGTCTGATCGTTTCACTTCATAAGACCTCAGTATATCGTCAGGAGTCACGGGGATTCATTCTGTGTTGCATGATGTGCTTTTATGGACTCTCAAAGTGACGGTAGCCATTGACTTGCATTTTATGAATCACCAAAAACCACGGTTTTCAGCTAAAAATCTTCTTTACTGTTCTACTGAAGAAAAAAAGTCATCTACATCTTGGATGGTCTGAGGGTGAGTAAATTAACAGCTAATTTTAATGTTTGGGTGAACTATCCCTTTAAATAGGCAGGGGAGTGGAGAAAATGGAAATTAACTTGTTTGAGTTGAGTTGCAGACGGGGAAAAGCCCAGGAAAAATCCCCAGCAAAGCTCTGACTTTAACGCTCGCTGTTTGTTCTGCTCTGTTGGCCTTGTATTACACAATGACAATGTCCCGTCCACATGCGGTCACTCCTCCACAGGGCAGCCATTGTTTCATTCTCCTGCAGAAAGTCTTTATTGGCGCTCTAGGAAACTAAATCACTCAGCCCCATTAGCTGCGCTGCGGCTAAGGAATAATCACAGCGCTCAAACTGCAGGGAAGAGCAGAACCGCCATTTGGAGAAAAGGTTAACAATGGGAGGAAAGGCAACATGATTTCTAACATCATTAAACAGTACTTTTTTAGGTTACTGTGGCAGGCTACAAAAGAAGTGATGTGACGTGCAGCCAAGTATGGTGTCCCATACTTGCAATTTGTGCTCTGCATTTCTCCCATCCAAGTGCACACACACAGCAGTGAGTAGTGAACACACCGGGAACACACACCTGGAGCAGTGGGAAACCATATTTGCTGTGCACCCGGGTCTCACCTCAGTCGTGGTTTTGAGGGTGGAAGAGAGCACTGTACGTTCATTCCCCCCACCTACAATCCCTGCTGGTACCGAGATTCGAACCCTCGACTTTTGGGTTACAAGTCCGACTCTAACCATTAGGCCACGACTGCCAAAAAATAGCCACAAAATAGCAGCTTGGGCAGGGCAGGATTACGGACCGGTCCAGTGGGACGAGGGCCTCGGGGCCTCAGGCCTCGTGACTCAAGACTACCAAAGTAAACTGAATAACACACATGTATATATTTATAATTGAGCAATATCACACGAGTAGCTGTGCGATATGGCTGTATTTCGGCACGGCTGTGATTCGGCCGCCGGTAATTATATCTGTGCCTATATACAACCAATTCTCACGTCTACGAGTGTGATATTGCATTTATACAACAGTTTGACGGCACGATGTGTGCAAATATATAAGAAAAAAAACAACGAAGTGTATCTAAAAACCCTATTTTGTGCAGAAATACTTCCTTCCGCAACGGATTCAAATAGTTTGTCAGTTTAACAGCTGAGCTCAAGGTCCATTACTAATTCAAGCACATTACTTTAGAACTTTAGTAAAGAAGGAACGTTGAGTTGCTTCATTGAAAAGCTTATTGTATCACTGTATTAAAAGCTCACTGTATTATGTGGAGTATGATGAGAGACTGACTGAGCGAGTGTGATTACCTGCATCAGATACAGCATTCATTATTCAGCTCAATCTCATATTCACAATAAAACATTAGTTTGAATGTCCGCTAAAGAAAGCGATATCTTTGTCGTACTGTCCTTTCATCTGTTAAGGTTGATTTCCGATGACAGCGCTGCTCAGTGCATTTGCATCTTACAAGCTGTTATTAAGTCAAAATAACTTCCATTTCAGTCTCTTTCAATATAAAAATATTTACCGCTGACTCGTAAAACAGTCTCTTGTCGCCATCTAAAGGCGGAATAATGTCACTAAAATCACCATCACGAACACACACTGTTTCCCAATACTAAATACTACTGTTATTTATATAAAATATTTATTGAATAATAATTTAAAAGTTGCTAGGCAATTCAGTCAAAAGTATAAAAACAGCGTTCTGATATAAGATACAGCATTGAAATGATATAAAATATAATGTGATGTGATTTTGCTCTCAGCCAAAACTATTTGCTCTGGAACAAATAATAGATTAATGAGACCAAAGACTGCCCGTTAGATTTACCCAAAACGAATTATATCTCATGTTTAACCACTATGGTTACGCGCTGAACGGCCGCTGACACCCTGGAGCTCACATCTCCGAAAACGTCCAAACAAATCTTCAAATAGACATTATCTATCTATCTATATAATCATATTTATTTATTTATTATTGATATATATATTTTTTAAAATAAAACATTTAAAAATATATATTTTTATTTCATTTTATTCATTTTAATATGTACATTTTAAGACACCCCTACTAAACAATGTTTTATTTTGAAAATATATTTATATGTTCACATATATTCAATACATATTCAAAAGTATATAGAATATGAACATTATCAAGACACCCCTTCTAAATAATCTTTTATTCTGACTTCCTTTTATAGGGTTCAAAGATTAAAGAATGTGGTTTGATGCCCCTCTAAAGGGTTCTGGCACGAGTGGGGTCTGAAAACCGGCCCGGGCTTGAAGATCTTTTGAACAACATGTTTTAACCTGAAAACTTTAGTGTTTGGTCTAAACTACAAGCTGTATTCAGGACGGCCTGCATATCAGTCTCAGTGCACCCACTCAAAACACCACTTTCAAAGCCTGAGAAGACTAAACATACAGCTGGAAGACAGCACTGGATGGAGGACTTCAAGAAAGCTGGAGATAAGTGTGGCTTTGAAGATGAAAGATTAAATAAGACTGGGCAGAAGAGAGCTTCAGATGCATTTCCATAACCTTGAAGAAGTTATTTCACCTGGCTGAAGCCAGTAAAAGAGCTTTTAATAGCAGCCAAAGCACAAGTGTGGCTCAGAGGAGATGTGTGTGGGATCTGATCTGCCCTCTTTGATGGTGTTTATGGTGATGGTGGAGGTGCTGGATCAGACCCAGACCCGCAATTGTATCTAAATGACGTGGAGTCCAGGTGCCTCGCTGCTGCTCTGCTCTCGATTAAAACAGACGGACATCTGCTTCAAAACCGCACAAGTCAAACATCTCCATTCCTATTGCTCACACTCATGACCTGAACTGCATAATTTGCACCAAAATCATGCAGCTTGCTGAGGAAAGGTTTACTTTTTTAAAGTTACCAGACTTACAAACTGGCAAAAAAAAAATAAAAAATCCACAAACTTACATTGAAGAGAGACCAACATTACGAAACCTTCTAACAATCATTCAGAACACCATAGCAACACCCTAGCAACCATCCAGAGCACCATAGCAACTACCTAGAACACCATAGCAACCAAAGAATACCCCAGAAACCTAATAAAAAAGTTTGGAATAATTAAGATTTTTCAATGTTGTCTCACAAGGCTGCATTTATTTGATCAAAAGTGCAGTAAGAACAGTATGTGAATATATTGTAAAATGTAATTTAAAGCTGAATTTTCAGCATCATTACTCCAGTCTTCAGTGTCACATGATCTTCAGAAATCATTCTAATATGCTGAAATATATATTGTTTGACATGTATTGACGTAAAAATCTCCCTTCATTCTCTAATATATGATAAAAATTATATATTATTTCATCATATATATTTTTTAACTATATACACATATATAGTTGTGTATATAGTTAACTATATAGTTATATAGTTAACTTAATAAAATAAGCATGATTTTTTTTTAAGGTTTCTTTGACTTCTATGACTTTTACAGGCGTGGAAACCACAATTTTAAACTTTTCCAAGAGCGTGGGAACTCTGAACAGACCACTAAAGATGCATTTTTAACAAATCGTTGCCACCACTGATGCTCTAATAGAGCTGAGCTCCACTCAAACAGCTTTTACTGCAATGCAAACATACAGTCAGTAAGCAGGAGCTGTGAATTCCCAAACGTAGCCGCTCTAAACAACCCTGACAGTCTGACAGGAAGGGCATCTGTTGGACTGTCTTTCTCCGGTGTGTTTTGTGGGTCAGGAAGACAAAGGCCTCGCGCACCAGCTCTCCAGCGGAGCATGAAGTCTGAAGCCGTGGGAGTGAAACAGGAGCGAGTGGCTCTGCTGATGGAGCGCAGGTTACTGAGAGCAGCTTTAACGCCTCTCTAAATGCATGATTGTGGAGAGGGAAAAACAAAACAGCAGCAGGGGTCCGACGACTCGGATACGTGATGCTGAACTGAACTGGCTATTTAAAAAACATCTGTGAAGACATCAGAAAGCTTCCTGAACTGTTTACAGACTTGCTGTGTTCTTCTAAAAATAAGTGAATACATATTTACGTTTATCCATTTAGCAGGTTTTATCCAAGAGACTTACAAATGAGAAATGCAACAAGCAAATATTCATAATATATTTGAATATTCTTTATTACATATTATATAATACAATCTTTCAAAATAATATTCAATATGATGATAATAATTAAAAGCATCTATTATTATACTATAAACTACAATATTAAAAATGGAAACAAATAACTATTTTATTTATTTATACTATTATACTATTACATATATAAATTATGTAATAATAAATCATAATAATAATTAATATTATTATTCACATCTTTATACCCCATGCAATAATTGTGTCTGTGTGTTAAGCTTACCATTATTAACTGCAATTATTTGCATATCATCAGCCAAATAATGCTGACGTCCTTCGCTAAATCCATCAGTCTGAAAGCGGCACCTGATGTGACTGGCAGCTGTCGAACAGGTTGACGTCTACAGATGGAATGTCCATTGACTCTCTGAGGACAAAAGCCACACGCAGCTGCTCTCAAACAGGTTCTGTAGTGAATCTCTGAGCGATGACACAACAACACAAACACACAGAGCAAACCCAGAGCTCACACAGACACCGCAAGCAAACAATCAGTGATTACGAGACGAGTTAAAGTGCTGTAATTGAGGGATCAATTCAAGACGCCGCTCCCATGATGTCTGGATTACAGCACAAAAGACTAAATCGAGTCCTAATGCCACTCATTACCAAACAGTTCGAGTCAAACTATGTTAACACTGTGCTTACAGACTAGCTGCCTCAAAACATGGATCAGTATATCCCTAAACAGCCATTAGAATTAGCACAGGATTCCTGAAAACTCCAGTCCAGACAACAGAGTTTGTTTCAAAGCAGCTTCACAGTATTAAATGGAAAAATAACAGAATCAATCATGCAAACTTTCTAAGCAATAGTGTCATTATTCATCTCAATTCAGGTCAGTGTTGATTCAACTCAATTCAAAAACCATGTCAATGTTGCAAAGTTGTCAATTATGAACAAATTTGATTCAGCTTTAAAGCAGAAGGCAATTGTGACACCCAATTCAGATAGTGTCAGTGCTGTCAAATCTATAATATTACTGAATTGTAAGTGTCTTTTAAACAAAAAAACAACAACTAAAAAGTCATGTAAATATGGTTATGATGGTGCATTTCCTCATTTGCAACTCACTTTGGATAAAAGCATCTACTAAATGAATAAATGTAAATATACCACACTACAGTCACAGTATTTTTTGTAAGTGATTTTATTTTAGTATCATAGTTTTCGTTAATATTTTGAATTAGATTTTTTTCTTAAATTTTCTGCTTTCATGTTCATTTTAGTTAAAGTTTTAGTCATTTTTTTTAATTTTTTATATGTCTATAAAGTTTTAATTAATTTGTATTTCAGTTTTAGGTTTTTTAGTACATCAAGCTAAACTAAATGAAAATGAGAAACGGTGCCTTGGAAGCTAGCTGAAATAAAATAAGAGCAAGTTTTTATTTTATTTCACTTAACTTTTATTTTATTTAAAGTATCAAAAATGTTTTTATTTATGGTTTCAGTTATCTATAATAACCCTGCTGTCAGGAAAGACGTTTTCCTGTTTGATAGGACCATCACAATCCCAATAGAAAGTGGTGAACGCTTTCTTCATTTAAAGTTCAATGCGATTCATAAGCGATGTCGAATGCAACCCGCAGCAGTGCGGCGCTTACCTTTATACTCAGGTAATTATCGCAGCTCCGCGACTTCACTCTGGAGTGCATAGTGCTCCGCGTCCGCATTCAGGGCTCAAGAAAGTAGATAAACCATAAATATGCAAATAAATAAATAGGTTAAGCTGATTAATCCAGTATAAGTCCATGCAGAGAGCGATTTGGGTCCTCTGCGCCCATGACTGGGTCAGCTGGTGTGTCTCTGCACTAGTGGGAAGTTTGAGAGAGAGACAGAGAGAGAGAGCTTCGGCCCTCCTCCCAGCGTGGCTCCTGTGGCCTCTCCCTGCTGGATAATGCATACTGATGTAATTTCCTTTAGCACTGAGAAAACACACCATCTGAGCTGCACACAGGCACCACAACACCCCCGTCCACAAGTGCCCTGCAGGGGAACAAACCTTTACTACCCCCTCCTCTCTCGAGCGGCCGGAGCCTCCCCCTCTTTGTCCTGACAAAACAAATGCACTAGGGTTTCAACTTATGCTGTCGCTTTTGTCAAAGAAGGAGAGAGAAAAGAAAAAAGAAGACATCAGCATGCCATCGGCAGCTCGGGTCACTCGACCACAATAGTGCTGCGCTCAATCTCGCTAATCCAAAAACTAGAGCTGACACACACTAGCCGACGATTAAACGGTGCAAAACAAACAAACAACACGTCTAAATCTAATGCATTAAAATGTATTTTTATAATGCATTGTATGAATACATCTATTCATTGTTACACATTTAGAAAGTGTGATGCATTAAAACACATGACAAACAATTACGTAACACGGAATCTTCAAATATATATATAATAATGCATTTTAAATTAGGTTGCAATTATTTATGAAAAGATGCCATGCATTACAACGTGCATTATGAATTCTTTTATAATGCATTACACATAAAGGCTTCAGGTGTTACTGAATTTAAATCCCCAAATAAAAATCTCCATTCATACTTCTTGACAGCCTTGTGATTAAATGGAGAGCAAACAGAGACTCTTAAGAGTATTAATATTAACACAGAAAAAAATATTTTATATACTCTAAAATACTCTTTTATATCTCATTTGCTTCTCCTTGACATCAGTGAGATTAAACGTAGAACAAACAGACTCTTAAGTCTCTTAAATATTTCTCATTCGAACACTGTAAAAAATGATTGTGATTTTAACAGTAAAAGACTGTAAAAATGCTACAGTAAAAACCTTGGTTAACAGTAAGTTTCCATAATATATTCAGTGAATACATTTAATTACATTTAACGTAATTTTACAGTAAAATACGTGAAAAAGAAAAAGTCATTGTAGAATTTACAGTGAAAAACCATAAATTCACACTCCCAGAATTCCCTGCATGACACTTCATAGTTTGTTTTTTTGTTGAAATAACATGTTTCTTCTTATTTTTTTCTTATCAGTTGTGTACATTAGGGTTTAATCTTACATCTAATGTTGTTAAATTAATGTTTATTGCATTATTTCAGTATCATGTGTGTCACCGTGATGGGGTTTAATGTTAGTGTGAATGACACTGTGTGCATCTTCTATATATAAGTATTGCCCTCCTCAGCTCATAGAAAAGCTGTTTATGATAAGTTTTGGTTCATCATGTGACTTTCTCATCACCACCAGTTTTTGGTGGTTATTAGTGCATTACAATGGTTCAAAACAGATATTAGTACTTCAATGTGTTGGTTTATTAACATTACATCAGTTAATGAAATACGGTATTTTATTGTGAATTTAAGTCAAGTCTGTAAAACCTAAAATGTTGCTACCATATTTTTTACGGTGAAGTTCTGGCAACCACAGCTGCCGGTATTTTACCGTAAATGTCA